ATGCTCTTGAGCCATTGAGCTGGCTTTATGATGCTTTATTTTATTTATTTCTTTGAAAAGTTTATATTTACCACAGGTTTATTTTATGGAAATAAATTATTCAGGGAGAGTGTTTAAATAAAGGCTGAAGTATAACAGGGGCGATTCTTAAAGGGAAAATATATTTACTTGGCATTTGTTTGTTTTTTGAGAAGGCTTAGGTGATTTTCTACGAATCTTAAGAAATATATTTTAAGGAAAGAACGAAATAAGTGAGTTTTAGCTATGACTATTAAAACTTGCAAAGGTTTATATCTAAAATTAAACTATTGCGTTTACTAACTAGTTATTGGGGGGGGGGCATTAAACTTTATTTTTGTAGACTTTATTTTCTGTTTTTTTCTTAAAGCAAATATAATAAATTCAATAATGGTTCAATAGCTCTTCAATTTATATTTTTCTTCAATCTTTGACATTTTCCAAGTCAGTCATTTTCTGGGTGAACTTGCCTGCAACTAGTTGTTGAGTTCAATTTAGCAGCTTGATTGTTTTTCAACGCTTCTCTGGCTTCCGACGACCTCCTCGGCCATATGCCATCGCCTGATGGGGCTTCCACGGCACTCTCTGGCCAAATCGAATGGCATTCTCCGGCAGTTTCCAGGTAACCCACATGGCAACATGCCAGTTACCTGCTGTTGGCCATTGTCTTGACTCGTCTTGACTTGACTTGGCATTCCAGCTGTCTTTGTTTTGGCTTAAAGCTGGCTCGCTCGGTTTCTTTGGCTTTACTGATTCCGTCGTAATGCCGGACGATGAATGCAAACTCGCTTCCAATTAATCACAAAACCCTCTTGGATGGTAGAGGAGGAGCTTCCATGGGATATCAATCATTTAGCGGACAGGACACGCTTATCGATTACAATGAAAGCGAAGCCAGCTCTCACACACACACACCACATGTGAGCAGTTCAAAAATTCGATTAAAATTCAGCAGAGAACAGGAAAAGCCGGCGGAAACAATAAAGGCCACAACAACGAAACTCGCATCATTAATTTTTTTGCAGCAAAAATTTATCGCCTATGATTATGCAGGGCGAGGAGAGGGAACACACAACACACAACAAAACAGAGTAAAACAGAATAGAACAGAATGTTTGTGCATAAAGCAGACAAAGGAATAATGGGAAATATAGGGGAAACCCATTTCTAACTTTGCCGCCAACGGAATCGGAGGAGGGCTCGTTTTTTCGCCTACCAATCATTATTCAATATGTTGACTTTTGTGCTTTCCACATTTGTTTCGCTCCAAGCCACATAAGTCATGTTGTCGGAGGGAGGGTGGGAGGTAGGTGGGAAACTGTGGAAATTGTGGGGGCCCCCCTCCTCTGAAGACAAAGAAAAATTTGTTCAAGTGGCTCAAGGGGGAGGAAGGGAGAAAGGGAGGTAGAGGCAGGCAGCGCGTCGATGTGGAAATTGTGATAGTGAAAGGATGGAAAATGGAGAATGGCAAATATGAGGTTGGAGGCGGGGCCCTCAAACACTTTCCCTGCACCTCCCTCTACCACCCTGAACAATGAACTCGGTGGCAACACTGTCGAAGTTGTTTAACTTTGCATTTGTCCCCAACTCCTGCTCGTCTTCCTTTTCGTCCTTCGCTTAGTGTGTTGCCTTTGATTAAGGCCACCTACGAGTGTCAGCTGGGACATTGTTTCGAACATTTCAGTTTCAGGTGTGGATTTCCCCAGGTGAGAAATCACTAAGCTACAGGCTCTGCCCCCCCCTTTAAAGCTTCAACATAAATTGAAATAATCGGTAATAATGGAATGCATTAGATTCATTCCATATTTGCCCATAGCAAATGCAATTAAAAGTTGGTAAATTAAAAGCAAATACAAGGGCCGAAAAATTTAATTACGCATATTAATTCCACCATGGCGAAATGAAAAATTAAGACTCTGTTTATCTTTATTTATTTTGCCCGGGCAACAGGCTACTGGCCACTGGCATTTCGTTTGCAATCAATAAAGCGACCACAGATGGATTGCCCACACAGTCTCCTACGGACGGACTTATTGTTTTTCCCCCTCCATCCCCCGCGGCAGAAGGTGTCAATTATTGGGAAGCTTGTCAATGGAGCGTTTTTCCTACTGGATGCGGTATAAAAATTCGAGCAGCAAATGAACCTTTAGGTCTGTCTCCCTCTCGGTTTTGTAAATTTAATTTGCGTTTGCATTTGCCGCCCCACTGCTCGCCCTCTCTCTATTGCCTGATGTTTTGCGGTTAACCGAAAATGTTCGGATGCAACACATTTGCAGTTTTACAAAGCTCAACACGAAATGATTTCATCCAGCTCCATCCTCCGTCCTGGCCCGCCCACCAATTTGGTCCTTCGAGCCGTATCGCAGGGATCGTTTGCATTGTTGCGGTAAATTGGTAAAATTTACATACCATTGGCTTTTATTGTTTATGTATCGCTGGCATCATCATGAGCTGCACGATGATGGCTTTAAAATTGTGGCGATTAAAACTTGCAGTTGCAGCAAACAGACCTGTATTCATTTCTGTTTTTGCTTTTATTTGAATTGGTCTGGCCAGAGTAACCTTTATAATTGGCATTTTCTAATTATTTCACAGTTTATCAAGTTGTTAGTTTTGCACGAGTATTGATTTGTTCAGTCAGTGGCTTCAAGCGGAGTCAAGGGTTATGTCAACCATTGCAATTATGTGTTAGAACTATTAAAGGGGGATTATCGATAAAAAACTATCTTAAAAAGGTCAATTAAATGTAATACTAATTAATTTAAATCGTTTCTTTAAGTTCATTTTAAGCAACGTCAACTTTAAGCCCTTACTTCCATTTAAATCCCATATATCTCGGGCCATTTTAAAGCTCTTAAACCAGTTCACATTTCGACCATAAATAAGGAGAGCACACCGGCTTTTAAGTGTTTCGCCGTCCAAACGTGCCAGAAATGTGAAAATGTGGTGGCTCAGTTCTTCTCTTCCTTCGACAGCAGCACCTGCCGTAAATGGTTGTTTTTCCACCGATTCCGTTGCGTTTTTCCTGCGCCATATGCTTGATTTATACGATAAAGAAAGGTTGGGCTTTTAGCCGGACCTTGGTCAACCTTGGGAGCCGCTGTTAACATACAATCGGCATGTAATAGTTTGTCACTTGGCTGCGTTGTATGCCCTGCATAATGACAGCTGTGCGACATGTCATGGTATCCCAGAAGAAGCAGCTGCAACAAATACAACCACACAGTGGCAACATGCAGAGTCACATATTGATGATGTGCGTCAAATGTCACCGCTGCTGCTGCTGCTGCTGTTGCTATTGCTGTCAATTTTGTGGGGATTCCCCCGTTTGTTTGGCACTCTGTGTTGTCCGACATTCAGTATTCTCTATTCTGTATTCAGTATTTCCCATGACAGCGGTTACTTCATTTATGTTGCTTAGTTGACCCCTATTGTTGCCGCCTTTGTTGGGGTTTTATAGACGGTAGAGTTGGCTTGTTTTTTTAAATCGGTAAAATTATGACAATATTTTGAATTGCCATATTTTGAAGAACAGAAAATAAATGCAAAAATATTAAATATAAAGGTTTATTGATTTGAGATATCAAAAAACATATTTAGATCACGTTAGGGACCTATTTTTAATGATATATCTTGATAAAATTTTTCTTAATTGTATTAACTTCTCTTTTAACATCCTTTTGCAAAACAATGTATAATATTATTAGGGTATCCCCTTGTCGTGATCCCTGATTTCATGATGTATTTCATCTATTTCCACTGTTTTTGCTGCTAATATTGCTGATGCTGCAGCTGTTGTTGCTGCTGTTGTAGCCGTTGCTGCTGTTGTAGCTGTTGCTGTTGCTGCTGTTGTTGCAGATTCTATTGCTATTGCAGCGTGCATTGTTGGTGCTGCTGCTGCTGCTGTTGCAGCTTGTTTGACAAATTGATCGCGTGATATGTTTGCCCAATGCTGTGTCATTGTTGTGCTGTGGTGGCCACACACTGCTGTCGTTACTGTTGCTGTTACTGTTGCTACTGTTGTTGCAGCCACTGTTTGCCGCCGCACAGGCATATTGGGGCTGCATTAGTTGGCGCTTGAATGCAGTGGCAGTGAACTCCACCGAGCCGAGAGTGCAGTGCAACACCCATGCATGTACATTTTGTTCTCGAAATTGCTTTCGATGTAAATCGAAACCTTTGCACCCATAGTCGGTCGTCCGTCGTCCTTGGTCCTTGGTCCTGTCCGGCAAATAGCAAACCGTCGTCGTCGTAACAACTCTAAATTGGTAAGCTCTTGTCGGGACACCGGAAGAATCTGCAGCTTGAAAAACTTTGCCACTGACTTTTGATTGGGCTCACATTCCACAGGAGTACAGCTCGGGGTCCTTTGCTGGATGGGTCTCGTCTCGCATATGCATAATCAGGACTAGGACCCGGACCGAGCCAGGTCTGGGATTGTCACAGTTATGAGAGGAGTGGAGGTCCTGGGAGTCCTGGCAACGTCAATTCGTTAACAGCAACGTCAGCTTTGCTGCTAATTTTGTTTGTCCTGTTTCACCACCCGCCCACACACACACACACACATGCACACACATATGGACACTGGAAACACTGTTGGATAAAAGTATGCGCACGGTCCGAGAGGCACTCGCTATCTCTCACTCTCTGTCCCTCTGTCCCGCTCGTTGGGCGCCTTTGTTTGTCCTGCACTCCAAACACTGCAGACAAAATGCTGTCGAAAATGTTGCCTGTTGGCTGATGTCTCTATTTTCTGTCTCCCTGCCCGCTTCCGCCTGTTAATCCGCCTAGCGTTATGCAACAAAGTTTTTGTGGAAAATTAATTAATTTCATGTGCAAACAGTCGTTAGATTTTTACCTCGCATCAGGTGGATAAGGTAGCCGGTGGCGTAGCCTGGCGACTGTTTAATTGGCTTAAACCCTTTTACCTTTGGCCGTGCTCTCCATTCTAATTAAATGCTCTGTTTCATTCCGTTTTGCAGATCCCTCAACAAATAGTACACATGTGCCAATCTGAAAGCTGAGCTGGGCTTCGGACAAGGAAAATCCATACCAACGAATTCCGGGACAAGTGATGAAGTCATGAGACCGACATTCGATCGACGCCTCTGGATATTATTGTTCATTATTTCAGTACAATGTAAGTAAACTACTGCTTATACTAAGACATTGCCTCGCACATATGTTGGGTCCCTTTTTCCTTTTTTTGTTTCGTGTGCCACCGGATTGGGCAGGATGTGGAAATGAATGGGCCAAGTGGCCTCAGAAGGCCAAGCAGCTCGTATATTGCCGGGGCAGAAAGAATGGACCACTTTGTATGCCGGCAACGTGTGAAAAATAGTTCACAGATAATCGCAGTCAGGCAGGTCACATTATTTATGCGCCAGCACACATCCTCGTCCACAGCCACTACATCCTTGGGATCCGCTACCCTTGGCTTGATATTCTATGCCACATGCAGCAAACAAAGCCATTTCTTTTATTTGATGTGCGTTTTTGGGACGGGGTTTGAGCTGGGAATGAGGGAGGGAGGGGGTCAAGAGCGAGGAAAGCTGACCCTGGGCATCCTACGGGCAACCAAAAACAGGTCCTGCATATCAATGCCAATGGTCTGTAAATAAGCTGAAATCATCCAGGCTCCCTATGCTTGGCCCCGCTCTAATGCAATGAGTAATATGCGATTGTCAATGTCTATTGGGTCCACGGGGCGTATGAGTAATATGCGAGACCGTGATTCGTGCTAATAATGGGTTTTTTTTCTGTTTTTTGCTTTTCGGGAGAAATAAATTTTGGGTTTGTGAATCAAAAACTGCTGAAATCCGGTTTCAACTAATGTTTTTTAATTAGGCGAACCAAATGTATTAATATCCATGATGTCCCCCATGGCGTATGAGTAATATGATAAGAAATCTGTGAATTAGAACCTACATCATATTCAAAATTATCTAAATTTAAGACCGAATTTCAACTATAATCCCCTTGTTAAATTCCCAAACCCTTTGTGTCTCGTTCGATTTAACTTTTATATAAAATATCCTCAACCTTTCACAACTCCAGACACAACGTGGGGTCACTTCAAGGTTGCAGCAATCTGGTCCAAAGCCAAAGCACTCAGGAAAACCTCATCCTGTTGGAAAAGCGAGGCAAATGCCCGACATATTCCCCGGCAGACGCACAGAGCGAACGGAAACGGAAATGCGCGTTCAAGAATTTTAATCTGCATGCGCAATTTCGCGTGTGAGCTGTATGCCAAAAATGGCGCGCACATGTCTGCCAACTGGCGACTGTGTGGCACCACCCCTAGGACATACCCTCCCCAGGATACCCGGCATGCCCCACTGCGGTGCGCCTTGGAATTTCACGCGTTTATTTGCAAAGATTACGAAATGCGACCGGCTCCCGCTAAAGTTTTGTATGCGTTTCCTGTGAGCTGCCGGCGTTGCCTTTTCCTTCTTGTGAGTGTGTCTGTAAGCGTGGGTTTTACTCTGCCCTGCCCTGTCCTTGCCTTTCCTCCGATTTTTCCGCTTTTCCCCGTTTTTTGCTCTGTTTGCATGTCCGTCCGTCCGCTTCGCTGACTTGTTATGCATGCAAAAAGTCTGTGGCAAATACACAGAGCCAGACCCCTTCCCAGCCCCAATTCCTGCCAGATGGGAGTGACATGCAAAATATTTTTGCATAAAAATGTTTGCCCACCAACACGGAGTCGGAGCTGGAGCCGGAGACTGAGCCAGAGTCCTTGCCGCATTCTGGCAGCTGCATCTTCCTCTTACTTTGTGTGTGTGATGTGTGTGCCCGGGACGGACGGACCGTAGAGAAATGTTAAATTTTAAAGCATTTCAATTTCGCATTTTTGACACACGCAAGTTGAGCATGAAATTTGCTAGATATAACGTTCGAAATTCGTCTCTTGGTATTTTTACCTTGAACGCTTGCCCGGTGCTTTCACCGAATGTCCTTTTCCCCTTGAGGGACTTAATGTCCAGCATTTTATCTCTTGTATTTAAGCGTGGTGCGTTTGCTACGTGCCGGCCATGCCAAAGGACCTTCCATGGACTCCTACTCGATGGCAATGCATAATGCGAGGCGACAGCGGCGATAGGGCATATTTCATATTTAATAAAGTGAAGGAGCTTCGGCAGGGGTCGCATTTTATTAGGGGTATGGCGATGCGCTGATGAAATCAGATGGTGATCCGCCACATTCCCTGGATTATTGGAGTGTTTCATGGGCACTTTGTAGGTTATTAGTCGTCGTCCATGCTGTTTTATGGTCACATTATTTCCGTTATGAAAACTGGGGCGACTGTACGTCGTCGGTGGATCTTAACATTGTTAGTAACCAAGTTCTTTTGAGAGAACTTTACTAGGATTTTTGTATATGGTAGGGAAGTCCTTTCAAGCAAAGACAAAGTAAAAGAGATCTGCGATATTGTTAAAATTACAAGTACTTTCTTAATTTCCCTTCTTTTAAATGTATATATTTGTAAATACTTTCTTTAAAGAACTATTCATTACTATTAATTGCGAAATATTTATGGCATGGTCGTCGTCCATGCTGTTTTATGGTCACATTAATTCCGTTATGAAAACTGGGGCGACTGTACGTCGTCGGTTGATCTTAACATTGTTAGTAACCAAGTTCTTTTGAGAGAACTTTACTAGGATTTTTGATTAACATATCTTTGGAGGGATGTCTTTATGGGTTTAGTGGGGAAATCCTGTCAAGCAAAGACAAAGCAACAAAGTAGAATTACAAGTACTTTCTTAATTTCCCTTGTTTCAAATGTATATTTTTGTTAATACTTTCTTTAAAGAACTATTCTTTACTATTAATTGCGAAATATTTATGGCCTCCTTAAGGAGCTTGCCTTTGTAAAGCCTTCCCACATCTCCTTGAGATTAATGTAAGTAAATGTTGGCAACTTAAATTTTTGGGTCTACGAAAATGTTCAAGAGTAGTGAGCGTTCCCTGCCCTATAAATCGGAAAGACAACGGAGCAGGAGTCGAGCTCTTGAGGTTCTTGAAACTGCGGCACTGATGATGATGATGATGATGATAGGAAGGTCGGGAGGGAGCTGCGGAGTCGGCGACTTAGTTAGCCACTTTTCTTTCATAGAAAATGCGCCTTTTGTGCCTCAAGTGGCCCGCCGGCCACTCTCCCCACCCCCCTGATCCCGATGGAAAGAAAAATAGAGCTGACTGCAAGTTTATTTTAAAACTCGACTTTTGTGCGCTCAAGTTTACTTTTGTGGGGAATTACTTTTCGGTTATTTTTGTGGCCCAGTCATCGCCTGGCCCTGGTCCCGGTCTCCCCCGGCTGCCGAGTATCTCTTTGCTGATTGTCTTGTTGCTCTGGTGTCGATGCACTGCGTCGGTGGCTTCTCGGTGGGATCTCGGGCTGGGTCTGAGTCCAGTTCGAGGCGGAGTTTATTATGTGCGCCGATGTGCTTGTGGAAAATGCAATTATTAAAAGTTTCGCAAGTCGCCCGCTCCTTATGCATTTAGTTTCCTTTCTCCGCTGACGCCGCCTTTGTTGGTCTCTGAAAATTATAGCTGGCGCCATTTTGCTGTCCATAGTTTTCGTCTTAACCTTCTGAGCTGTCAGCTATTTTTTGTTTCTTTTGCTCTCATTTTTTCCTTTGTTTCTTTTGCTGTTAAACATGGCATAGCAAATGTAGTCCATTGAAAAGTTTCCCGTAAAAGTTTGCCCTAAAAGTTTTCCTTAAAGACACACAAAAAAAAGAAAAAAGACAAGGAAAAACGGGTAGCTTCAGCTCTTTAAGCCGTGTTGTTTTAGCCGGAAATGTGAACGGGCCGCGTGGTGCGCGTGGCCAAAAATACCAGAAAAGCGGAAACGCAGCTAACAATAAGAGCCGAAAAGGGCAGAAAACGCGAACTTCCGTTTAAAATTTCCTAAAATTTCAAGCGCCTGGGAACCGGCCAGAGTCCGGAGTCCGCAAAAAACACCACCGTGTGGTCAACACGTAACAGACGCCGTTGCCACCGGGCTTCCTTACCGCCGCTCTTCCTGTCCAGACCGACAAAAATTGGCCGCACACTAAATTGCACACCTGGGAATTAATGCGCCGGCCACTCGAAAGGAGTTTTCCAGAGCCCGAAGCCCGAGGCCCGAGTGCCCAGTGCAAGTGCTGGGAAAATGGGAAATGCGAGCCAAGCGGCATTTCCACACAAAGGTGTGAAGGCCGTAAGCGCAGCAACCTGCAGTTGCAGACAAATGCAAAGTCAAATGCTTTTCACAGACAGCCAGGGAAGCCCGTCCAAAGTTGTTGCCAGTTGTTGGTTAACGCCACAGGGCCAAGTCTTCTCTTGGCCTAAAAGCGGACAGTGGGACGGAGATTTGTTGGCTAACTAAGAATAATTTTTAAAGAGATTCAAAGATATACTACAACTTTAAATAAATTAAAATAGATAATAACGTAAATTATATTATAAATGTAACATTTTCTGTATAATGTTTATTGTAAATCCTAAAATAACTATGGTTCAATGTATTAAAAAAAAATTTTTTTATGGTATTGTATCATATTTTTCAATGAAGTTTTAAAGTAATTGAAATTGCCTTGCAAAAACATATTCTTTTATGTTAATAATGATAGAATCATTAAGATATTCTTCTAAACTCAAAGGTTCTCACAACTAATAAATTGTTTTTAGTTCTTTCCACTCATGTTCCTCATTTAATATTGTTAAATGCTTAATTTCTTTGTTTTAAAAGACTATTTAATTGATATATCTCTACGAATATGAACTCGAAACTCGATAATAATTATGAGAAATCCTTTAAATAGGTTCACATTAACCCTTATTTAATGTTTCCTTTTGTCCCGCGGCTCAGCATTCACACTGGTCATAAATAAAACATCCTTTTAAGGCCGGCATGTGTGCAGACTTTATTGACCAACTGTATATCGTACAATTCCTTCTGCTTTTCGACTTCTTTACAATTTTTTCTCCTCATTTTTTGGGCTCAGACAAAGTTGCCGTCCCATCCGCTCGGCTTTTCTTTCGCTCGCCCTTTGCTGGTAAAAGCAAGTGAAAATAAATTAAGTGGAAGTAAGTCGTAACGAAGTGATACATAATTCTTTGTACTTTTTTTTATTTCATTTTCGACTGCTCCTT